ACTGGCTCAGCAGCCGACGCCACCCCTTCGGTAGCCACACGGTCGATCCCCTCCGATGGCAGACTCCCAGCAAGGTCCACCGCCCCAGCTTCAACAACCTGGGAGGCACCCTCCCCTATCTCACGAGGGGCAGAAGTCCCCCTGATCTCTCTCCCACCCCTCTTTCATTTTCGGTTGATTTTCAGAGGGGAAACCTCTTCCTCTAGAAGCTCGGAAACCTCGAGCTCGGTCACGTTAAAGCAGGGCTTCACCTCAAGTCACAAGTCTTTTCCTATAAGGCCTACAGACAGAAAATAAGGCACATCAGCAAAGAAGAATTACACAAACCTCAACAAACTACCAAGATGCAAAATACTCACCCTCCAGGACCCTCTCCCTGTGCGCCGAGTTCGCAAGCGACAAGATCGACTTGCAATCCAACGGGCGAGGCAAAGCCGAGAGATTCTTAACGACGGAAGCCTCTGAAGCCGTCAACTCCAAAGGGTTCACCCCGTGAAACCTAGACGGTTTAGGGCACCAGTAAAAGGGGAACTTCGGAAGTCCACCAAAGTAGAAATCCCCATCCTCCAAAAGGTCGACGTCCACGAGGACTACCCGGAAAAACTCGAATTTGAAGTTCTTATAAGATTGGGAGTAAAGAGTGAATAAACCCCCTTCTTTACTCCCGTTCAAAGAAAGAATGCCATACGGCGGAACGCCCAGCTTCAACTGGTAGAAATGAAGGAAAATGTGAAGGGACAACTCCAGCCCTAGGACCGCACACAGGACCCGAAACGCCCTCAAAAAACCCCAGTTATTGGGGTGCAGCTGGCAAGGGGCCGCATTGTTGTAGTTCAAGAAATCACACTCAAACTGAGTGAAAGGAAGACAAACGCCCAGGTCCCTGAAGAAACTTTGATAGACATAGAAGTGGGGGGGTCGATTGACTTCCCCAGGAACACACCCTCACCAGTCGGACAAGGCTCGAGCCGAATCATCCACAAAATGGTGGGGTCGCAAATCTGGTGCGTCTCCCAAACTGCATCGACCTCCAGGCGCGACCTGAACACACTTTGGATGCCTCCCATCTCGCGCTTGACCCAGTCGTAACCAGGAACACCCGGCTCCAGGTCCTTAGGCGGGAGCGGGTCTTTCCTCTCGGCGGCGCCTTTCCCGGTAGCCACTGCCTTGCCGCGCGCCTTGCCCCTGGTAGGCGTAGAAGAACCGGCGCCACGACCACCATCCATCAAGAAGACTCAAAGAAAGACTATGAAAACGAAGACGAAAGACGAACGGAAGTGAGAAATCTAGGAACGAGAAGGCACAGAGGACTATCGTACCCAAGAAGCCAAAGAGTAGAAGAAAGTGGAGTGAGTGGGAAGAGACGCGGGAGAGAATAAGAAAAGGGTTTTTCCCACATTTCAAAACCGCCACGCCACGTGTCGGCCAGGGGACACGCCTGGCGACACATTAATTGAAAACCATCATGACAAAGACAAACCATCATTACATAACCGTCACTCCCATTAACGCGCCACTTGCACGATTTCGGGAAATGAACAGTTACAACACATTGCATCTCAACAGGCAGGCGTACGCGAAAGGTCACCTCCCCCCAGCGAGCTTGGTCTTAACTCCTCGACCTGCGGTCTTCGGAGCTCAGGGGACTAGTGTACTATCCGTACTGCGAAGCTGAGCTCCAAGCTCGGCACCACAACGCAAGCCGACCTCGGACGCGCACCGCGTGCCGTCAGCTCAGCATTTAAGTGAATCACAACTGATTCTCGAGGATCTCGCCCCGGACAAGATCCGTTAGCTAATCATGTTATATCTTATCTCAGGCCCAAGGCCCAAGACAACCCAAAATCATACCAAGGTACGTGCATTACTTATACGAGACATATACTCATACAAACCCTAACTTTAGCATCAGAGTCTCTTTTGCAGGTACCACCCCCATCTTGGAGCACCAGCGTACCAGTGAAAGAGGCTCACCGATCTTACCTGGCGGATCAGCTCTACAGCAGATTTCCGGTAAGAACAATTATAGATAAAAAATAAAAAAGAGAAAGAGTTTAATTGAAATACCTCTTGAATGAGCTCTATTGAATCTTCAAAATAGGAAGATTTTAGGTGCTATGTGGCAACCTTTCACACTACAATGCCTCACAAAATCTCAAGAAATACAAAAGAGAGAGAAAGAGAGAGAAAAAAGAGAGAAATTTCGTGCTCTAAGGAGTCTGAACGAAATTTTGGAGTCCCGAGAAATGAGCCCAAGCTGTCTATTTATAGATTTTAGAAAGGGTCCAGAACGGCCTGTTCCAAAATCGGAACGACCCGTTCTGGATATGACCGTTACGTGTAAATTTTGTAACTGGAACGGCCCGTTCTAAAATTGGAACGGCCCGTTCCAGAGATAAGATTAACACATCATTTGGTATACTGGAACGGGCGTTCCAAACAAGGATCTTTAGGCTCTTTTTATAACTTGGAACGACCCGTTCCATTTTAGGAACGGCCCGTTCCGGTTAAAGCTTTAGCCCTCTTTTGAAGAGTTTGGAATGGCCTGTTCCAATCTTGGAACGGCCCGTTCCAAATTAAGGTTATTGGCCATTTTAGGAACTTGGAACGACCCGTTCCAAATTGGGAGTGTGAGTGTATTTAATTTTAGATAAATCTTAAGAATTATATTAAATCAAAATTTTATGAAAGATTATTTTAACATGAAAAAAGTCTTATAAATTTCAAGAGATTTTGTAAAATATAATGATATATAATTGAGGAATGCAAGCGTGAGGTTAAAGGAGATAAAGATCTGATGGAAGTGACTTGGAGAAGTGATTGTTGTTCTTCCTCAAGCTCCATCCATTGTCCAATCTAGCTCTTGGAGGTTCATCAATGGTTGAAAATGGCGGAAGCAAGACAAGCCTCAAAGCTTGTAGAAGCCACTTAGTGGTTTGGTTCTTCTCAAAGAAGAAGAAGAAGTGAGAAACCAAGGCACAAAGGAGAAAGTCCTTTGTGAAGGTTCCTAAGGGAAAGAGTTTCTCCACGGGTTTGGCTCTTGGAAGAGTTAACATCCAAAAGTGTGTACAAATGAAAGGTTTAGAAATATATAAAAGTAGGTAGCTTGTGGAGGAAGCTAAGCTTAACCATGGTTCAAGAGAATCATGGTTGGCTTAGTCTTGACCGTCCACCTTAGTTTAGGAGGCTTGTGGAGCAAACTTCTATCTTAGCTTGCTTGGGAAGCAAGCTAAGTTAGAAGCTTGTAGCACAAGCTTCTCAAGGCACCAAGGCTAAGAAGCCAATTTGGCCAAAGGAGAGAGTGGGCGGCCTTGGTTTGTTTTTCTCTATGGATCCAATCCAAATAATTTGGAATTGGTTTAGATAGGTTCACTCGATGATGGTGAGACCTAGCTAAATCAATTCCTTGAAAAATATGGAACAAAAGAAGTCCAATATGTAAAATTTGACCTAGGCCCAACTCTGGCCCAATTGCTAGTCACACCCTTATGCCTTGCTAATTGTCACCCTATTTCTACTACTGAAAAAGTAAAAATAAATGACCTTTACTACAAGGTCAAATGGAGTAAAAGTCTCCAAAGAACCTACTCTAAATTCCCTATACAATGATCTATAAAAAGAAAATAAAGTGTCTCATAAATACAAAGGCAAAATAAACCTATACAAGTAACTACTATATTTACAGACATATGAAAAGGTCTTCAAAGTCATCTCATTCCTCTTGATTCCTTTAATGTATCACCTTTTGAATTCCTTGACTTTGGCATATTTCCATCAATATCGATGTATTAAATTGAGATTCTCTAAAATATTATTTTAATATGAAAAAGTCTTATAAATTTTAAAAGATTTTAATGATATATAATTGAGGAATGCAAGTGTGAGCTTAGAAAAGGAGAGAAAGGTCGACCATGTTTTGAAAAAAACAATAACTGAATGAATAAAAATCTCAAGCGATGTTACTAAATGTTACCCTAAAATTTAATAATACACCTAACTGGACAAGTGGATTTCCATACAAAGGTGGGGATTATTTTGGTGAATTGAGCTGGCGGGTCCACTTGAGAATGGTCAAGCAGTCCCTACTGTACTGATGTGACAAGAACGGAAGTTTCGAATGTAATTTCCTTGTAGCCAATGGGGCTTTGGATAGGTTTCCAGAACAATAAGGAAAGACTAAAAAATGTCAATAAGTCAATCAAGAATTTTAACATATACTAATAGAAGTTTCATCCCTATGACCATGACAGATCAAAAGCAGAACAGAATTGCACTGAAAGTCTACAATGCTACAAATTCCCAAGGTTCGTTTCACTAATTGCCTATAAAAAAATCATCCTCAGGGACACTAAAAATAAGAATTTACTGCTTGTTTGTCTAAAGTGAATTATAAATAAGCAAATAAAAACCCTACAGATAAATTCATGAATATGCATTTTACCACCATTATCATTCTCCAATCCCCACCAACTTGTTTTTATCTGCTCTACCGATGACAAATTATGGAGATGTACATTGATACCCCTCATAATTTGTTGAATTAAATAATTTCTATCTTGTAGTTCCAAAACTACTAGAAGAGTGGACAATATAAACTTGTGTATTATATAATATCACCGGATTCGGTTTAAACGAAGTTGAGATTTTGCTTTATACTTGCAGCTGCAGATACAGCTTTTCAAGTAGATAATTAGCAATAACATATTCATCTGTTGGAATACTTGCTACAAATCTGCCTCTAAGTTCAATGGACCCTCGCCAAGAGAAGAGAAATGAGAAAGGGAATAGTAAGATAGCACAAGGGAAGAGTAAGATACTGTACATTATATTTAGGGAAAGAGATCGGA